GCGAGGAATCTCGACCGAGCTCTCCAGTCCGCACCTCTAGAGGCGGACTCGCTTGGAGAGGGCTCCAAACCACCTATCCAGAGCTGTTGGTGGTTTCCAAATGTGTAGGGTCCCTCCCGGGCGCTGGGGTCATTATCTCTCCCCAAGCCGCTCTTTCAGTCCTCTCTCCCTCTTCCCTCGCAGACCTGCCTGGGCTTTACGTGAAGTCATATCGTTCCTATTAGCTTGTCTCCCTGGGCAAGGCGGGCACCATCTCTGGCTTGGTCCCGACAGGCCACGCTAGCAGCTACCTGAATACTGTAAAACGTTGTCTGGGTGACTCAAGGGAAGGATTTACCACAGAGTTCAGTGACTGTGCACCATTATCATTTGGACCCCGGGTATTCACACTGATTACCTCTTTTAAAGTCTGAGAGGCCAGGGATGTAGCTCAGTTAAGCCCTTGGCTAGGATGCAGGAGACTCTGGGTTCAATTCCCCAGCGCCTCCAGAAAAAAAAATAGTGGCTTTTAAAGGATCGCGCAGCACCATCTGCTCATGCCCTTGAACCCTCCGTACTCATGACAGTCTCTGCGATGTCACACTCTTCGGAGTGGTGGTCATCCAGGCCCTCTCCATCTTGTGTTTGGCTGCCTCCAAAGCCCAGAAGCCCGCATCTTCACCCGCTGAGGAAGGGCTCCTTGGCTCGGTGGCAGGTCACATCCGCCTTGCCCGTGCCACCCTCAATCCTAGCAGGCCTGAGCCTGAATGTAGGCTCCCTTGGCAACCACAGCCCTGGTGAGCACTGACGGCTGCCACTGCTTGTGAACTCAGGAACAGACCCAAGTCTCCAGTTCTTTTCCCTGTCCCCTGCCCTTCAACACCCCTCAGCCAGCACAAGGACAGCAAGGTTTCAAACAGCTCTACCAAGAGAGCAGCCAGGTGAGGACACAAGACAAGAGCTGTTCAAAAAGACTGATTTTATTCTGTGATCAGTGTAAAATTGCCTCATTTTCAGTGCAGGTGATCCCTTCTTCCCAGGAAATGAACTGGGGGGTAAGATCTTTCTTGAAGTCACGGCCCCCACAAGGGCCCAGGAAAACCCCTTGCAGTTCTGAGAGCTGATCAATGTGCAGGTCACGAGTCAGAGGCCCAGTGTTGCAAAGCCCCGTCCATGGCCCTGCTGTGCTCGTGGAGAGGTGTGAGATTCACGGACCTCGAAGTGCCCTCTGGCCAGGCATGGCTTTGATTCCACTATGGTCTCAGCTGAGCAACGAGTAGGAAAACTGCTGTTAGGTGGTAGCCTCACAGGGTGCCAGTGCTGGTGCCCCGCAGGCCCACACCACGTACGAGCTGTTCCAGCAGGCCCCCGATGGCCCCTGAGGGACTGGGGGCTGCTGCCCGGAGCCCCACTGTGCTGCTGTAGGCTGCCAGGAAAGCCGAGCGCACCTCCTGCAGCCTCGTCTCCCGATCACTCAGGGCCACGAGGCTGTGGGGAAGGAGGGAAGGGAAATGAATGTGTTACACGGCCAGGAGAGAGCCAGTACCCTCACCCCATCCATGGGGCCCATCTTTCACATCCAACTTGCTAAAGCTCGCGCCCAGCCCAAGGCCACACTCTTCTTGCAGTTCAGGCTCCACAGCCATGTCCCTCTCTAGCCATTCTTGGTTCCCAGGACACTCCTTCCCCTCCCACAGGGACTGGGCTATTCCTGCGGTGACTGAGATGGGAGACTGAGCAAGGGGAACTGCTCTGACGGGGCTAGCTCCCATCCCTCAGCAAGAGTTGGCAGGCTCATATCCCGAAGTAAGGAGCACAAAGGCCAACCGCAGCCCCGGTGACTGTGGCAGAGGGAGGATGACCGCACAGCTCACGGGTAGCAGCCAACCAACCACACACCTCCTCGATGCACTAGGAACTGAACTGGGTGCCTCATGCTTGCCACTAAATTATTTTCTCAGCCCTTTAAAAATGTTATTTTTGTAGGGCTTGCTAAGTTGCCCAGGCAGGTCTTCAACTTGCAATCCTCCTTCCTCAGCCTCTTGAGCAGGTGGGACTACAGGTGTGCACCACCCTACCCAGAAACCTCAGCCATCTCAATGCCAGGACCCGACACATCTTGGGAGGAGGCTTTGCCCTGGGAGAACCTCGACTGCCCTGGGAAGTCCAGAGCCTCACAGTGAAGACCACTTGGGCTCCAGCTACACTTCCAGTCCCTGTGGCCCCCAGGTCAAGAGCAGGAAGGATGTTGACTTTTGCAGCAGTATCTAGGTTCTGATTCTCTTTTCTTCCCATAGCCTCTGCAGGCACTGATCACAGATGGAAGGTAGGAAGCCACTCTTACCTCTTGCCCTGAAATTACAGGTCACGGAGGGGAACAAGCACACAGACTCAGGCTTAGCACAATGTAAATTGTATGAGGCTGATGTCAAAAGGTTCTCTCATAGGACAGGCCTGGGTATGAGCTACACCCAGCCTTTGGACCAAGATCAGGCACTTTCACAATGTCCGCCCCCTCCCCGGGAGTCTGCCGAACCAGTAGCAATGTCCCCAGTTCCTGATCCCAGAGAACCTACACCTCAGGGCCAGGGAAACAGGTGGCAGTCCTGGGCCCAGGGCAAGTATGGAAAATACAGATGGAACCATTGGGAAGTAGACTGGGGGAGGTGGCAGCGAGAGGCAGACAGAAGCAGTGGGCTGTGGGGAGGGAAAGTCAAACAGCTCCTCAGAAGAAACAAGGAGATGAGCTGGTGCTGAATTCCTGACACCATGAGCAGCCCTGACGTCTCTGCTGGCATCAGGAGGATCCCAGCTTGCAATTTTGTAGGCATGAGGTCATGCAAACTTGAGCTATCCTCTGGGACTTCCCAGAACTGGAGGGTTGGCTAGGACACAATGTGTGGCTGGGCTCCGGCCTGAGGATCTGGGGCCAGAGCTGCCTGGCTCCTGGCTAACTCTAGGGATGTGAAGGGCAACATCAAATGCAGCATGGAAGTCTCTCCTCCCCCAGAGAGGGCTTGAGCAGCAGTCCCTGCAGCAAGGTGCAGATGCAGGTGCTTTTCTATCCTTCAGAAATCTAAGAGCTCTCGCTTCCAGCCTGGGGACCCTCCCTCAGAGGTTCTCCCCAGCTGTAGGACAATCCTGGGAGGTTGAGCATCCTAGAACCCCAAGGTTTGGCTGGCTCTTCCTCCTCCCCAACTTCCTACAGCCTAGGAGCACTGAGCTCTGGTGCTAGTGGGACCTGAGTCCGCAGCATCTGCCATCTGACCATGGTGTGGAGGGGAAGGCATGCCTTGCTGAAGGTCCCTGCAGGCAGCCATATCTGAAGAATAGACCCTGCTCTCCAGGACACCAGAAGTTCTGCCCAACATCCATGAAGCAGCAGAACAGGCAGGGGGAAGGTGGCTTCCCCAGGGGCAGCTGCTCAGGTCAGACAGAAGCACAAGAGGTGGAAGCCGTTTTGGGGCTTGGAGAAAGAGGGCTCTGTAAGCATTCAATCCAGAGTCCTGTCTAATTCTTTTTCTTGCCCAGAGGCAAAATAGAAGGAAAGGGTGCAGGGGTAGCCTGTTCTCTACTCAGGAAGAGCCATTCTGGCTCTGGCCTCCAGCATACACCTGCCTGCCTGGCTGCCTACCCCAGCTTCAAAGGGTAGGCAGCCAGGAGAGAGCCAGCACCCTCACCCCATCCATGGGGCCTATAAAAGCTATTCCGCTTTCAAAGGGTTCTCAACATCAGGCAAAGTATGTACAGAAATGGCATCTTCTACGGTTACAGTCCAGCCAGTTTTCCCACAGGGTACACCCAACGCACCTGCAGAGGGGTTTTGGAATCTGGTAAGATCAAACACAAACAAACCCTAACACGCTTGCCAGAGGTCTCCTTCATCCCTCAGGTGCAGAGATCTCTGCCTCCCCCAGCAGGCACTGCCAAGTGCTTGTGGCACTATCTGGGCAGGGGAGTATCCTGCCTTCTGAAGCAAGACACTTACAGACAACTGTTAGGGAGCTCATCCGGGAAGCTGAAAGGGAGAGAGGAGTCTGTGTGCAGGACAGCCCGCTCCTGAATACTGCCACAGCCCGTTACCATCTGCCAGCTGCCAAAGTCTGTGGAGAGAGAGGATCCGGGCAGGGGATGGTCCACTGATCTGGGGCAGAGAGGAGAGAGAGGGGAGACGATGCAGTCAGTCACATGCCTGACAAGGCCTGGTGGGGTGGGGGCTTGAAGGCCAGCCACCGTCTCCAAAGTGCAAATAATGCTGGAGAGGTAGGAACTGAGAAGGAAGAGGACACTGCAGGGAAGGTTCTGCTGAGGACAGGCGTGGGGAAGACTTAAAGAAAAGCCAAGAGGAAGAGTGAAGCATGCTAACAGGAGGATAGTCAGGTCCAAAGCCTGGGACAAGCTGTGCCTGCCTGGGGCTGACAGCAAGTGCCCACAGGCACCCACAGGAAGAGGGCAAGGCAGGACCCAGGACCCAAGAAGGCAGATCACTGACATGCGCACTGCAGAAACCTGCACACAGATCTTATCAGCAAGGAGAGCAGCCTCTGGGACTGTGGAGGTGGTGACCTAGATTGCAGAGAAGATGGGAGTCCTGAGGGCCCGCCTTCCTCTGCAGCATCAGAAGCATCAACCCAGCAACTCAAGCTATGCAGAGGGAAGGGATGAATCAGGGAGGCAACCTGACAACTTCAACAGGCCTTTTCCTGCTGGAGGTCTGGGCTGTCAGGAGGAAAGCAATGATGGCTGCCACCTCCTCCCCACTCACAGCCAGCTCCTCTCCTCTGTCCTGGGTGGTAGCCAGCTGCTGGGGGCAGGAGACAGATGTAAGCCACCCCCACTCCAGATCCCAGGCCCCAGAAATATGCCGTTTCTAAAGCATGACCCTTTATTCTTCAACTCAAGAGCAGCAGAAGGTGCTCCTGTGGGGACCCAGGAACAGGGCCAAAGCACCAACTGCAGTGGGGACAGGGGAGCCCTCCCTGCCCTCGGCCCACACAGCTGGTGGGTGTCAGACTGGGTGTCCCAGTCTGAGGTGACAGCCCCAGCAACCACTGGGCCAGGCTTCTCTTCAAGCAGCTGGCCCAAGTGCAGCTCTGGCCAGACACATGGCTTTAGTGAGCCTCAATTGCCCCTTCCAGATGGGAAATGGAAGCCCAGATAGGTTGAGATACTCGCACAAGGTCTCATAGGTAGAGAGCCTAAGTTCGACGTGCTGAAACAGAACCACCTTCAGACTCGAGCAGACAGGTGGCTTTCTACATTCAAGCTGCCATAAATCAGAGCCACATCGAAACACTGCAGACCGGCCACGTCCATCATCAGCCTGCTCTGCTCTGCTCTGCTCTGCTCTGGAAGGAGTGCGAGGCTCTCCAAGACTGAGAACAGGGTGTGCTCTGCTGCCTGAAGGAAGCCCCTGGGGCCCTACAAAGCAGGAAACTTCCTTGTTTCTAGATGGGAAACCTGGCTGGCTCAGAGACAGCCGCCCAGGAGCGGCCTGCCATCAGCAACACATCTCAACCACATCCCAGCTGCGGGGCAGAGCCTCTCCCCAGCTCTGGCTTCTGTGGGGACAGGGGGGATAGGACAGTCTACATAAGCAAGGGTGAGAAAGCTGGATGGATGAGGTGCTCGGGGCAGGGACAAGGGAGTTTCTTGTACCTCCAAAGCCACTCCCCAAGGCTGTCTGAAAGGGAAATCTGTACCATGGACACAGTTACAGGTCTTCCCCAGGAGGGTCACCTCCTTTCATTTCCTAGAGCTCCAGGAGCAGCACTAGGCAAGAAGCTTGCCCAGCACAGCAAGGGACAGCTCTGGGACCCACTAGGCAGCACAGACAGCACAGGATTCTGTTTTCCATGGGACAGAAAGCAGCATTCAGTGAGCAGCTATTGTTGGTGGATCCTGAATTTTTAAAGAATAAACATAGTCTCTAAATAAATTTCCCTACTTGAGGCTTCTGTCAAACAACAGTGGCAAAGTGACCATCAGCTCCTGGACGTGACAGCAAGGGATCACGGTAAGCAGAAAGATGTTCCCAAATAGCAACTTGGGCTAGCTGGCTAGGGGGACAGAGTCAAAGGAACAAGTCCCAGAGGAGGGACCTGCACCCACACTGCAAGGGGGGAAATCTTTCAGTCAGCTAATATCACAGGCGTACACGAGAGGCTTTAACAGAACGTCTGCTCTGTGCTCCTGGGGAGTGTAGGCAGAGGCCAAGCTCCTCCTGGCAGACAGGAAAGCCTGGCGCTGGAGTGCAGGGCTGCACCCTGTGGGCATGGGGTGTGGACTTCTGCTTAGAAGCGGGCTCTCTTAGCCTGTACTGCCAGGCCCTTCCCTTAGTGGGCCAAGAGGCTGCTCCCAGAAGCCCTGCCAAGGCCAACTCAGGCGCATAGTCTCCCAGCCAGTCCTTTCTGGAAGGGGCACAAACATACCAAGCAAGAGGCAGTGGGTCTGGGTGGGGTGCCTGGCTTGGCCTCGTACCCAGCTGCCTGGTGCCCTGATGTGACACACAAGCCTGTAGGTAACTGACTGATAAGGACAGGTCCTCAACCTCTGCTATAGTTTACTGAACATCTGTGGAAAGGCTGAGTATTTACTGTGTACAGGTACTGCATTTATCTCATTTAAACCCAAACTTATGGGGAATGGATTATTCTTACTTTAAAAATGTGATTAAAAGGCCGGGGATTTCGCTCAGTGGTTCTGCTGCCTAACTCGCAAGCCCAAGGTCCCAAGTTCAATCCCCAGTACCCAAACAAAAACAACCAACCAACCAAAAAACAAAAACAAAACAAAACCCAAACAAAACTGTGATTACAAATAACTGAGTTTAGAAGGAACATGATTTTTACCCAGTTACACAACTGAGAAGGGCAAAATAGTGAAAGCAGATTTGACCAAAGCCCACCTAGCCAGTAACACACTGACCTTTCTTCTTAGTACAGGGTGGGGGACTCATGGATAGGCATAGGACCTCCAGATGAAGTCAAGTGCAGAGCTTTCAACCTGTGGTGAGGAAGCAAGGTCCTGCCCCAGGGCAGTGGAGTGGAAAAAGCAGGCACACTGGACCTGAAGACTGCCTTGCAGTGGCTCCCACACTCCTTTGTTTGAGCTAGTGTGAGATGCGCTTTCTGCTACTTGTATTTCAAGTCTCTGTCCTAACAAGGCTGCATGGATGGCTTAACATACACAACTAAGGAGGGCCTCAGAGTCGCCTACCTTCCCCATTCCATAGATAAAAAACCCAAAGTGACACACCAAGAGTCATCAAAGAAACTAGGTCCTAGAACCCTGTGCTTTGAGGAGCCTCTGTGCCACTCATGAACCCTGTTCCTCCCTATCCCAGATGCTTCCCAACACTGGCGCCTCTGCCTGGGCCCAGGCACCCAGCATGGACCTTGGCCAGCCTGGCCTCTGAAACATGGCACATGTGCACAACAAAGCCTGAGGAGATGTCTCTGTCCAGGACTGCCCCCAGCTCCTCACTGTCCCCAGAGGTCTGGAGCGGTAGCCTCTTGCAGGATCAGAATGAGAACAGAACCCACATGCTGCTGGCAGCAGCCTGGCACCTCTGCCTTACCACATGGCTACAGAGAGCTCATCGGGTGTAAGAAGCAGTCAGCAGGTGGCTGTGGCTGGGGAGCAGCTAACCACCAAAAGGCCATGAAAGAGCTGGTTCTGCCATTCAACCCAGCCAAGTCCCTGCACTCTTTAGCAGCCCTTCCTGGGCCTGACACTGCAAATCTACTGCCCTAGCCCTGAAGGTATCTGACTGGAGGCAGACAGGGCCTTTAGTGCTGGAGGTGTGCAGATGCAGCAGCCAAGTGAGCTCCAAGAACTGGCCCTGCCCCTGTAGCCCTGTGGCTGATGTTTCTGTGGCAGCTAATTCAATGAGAAAGCCACCCGCCTTTCCAATGAAGGATGTGCTTCGGGATGTGGTAAAACCAGCATCCTGTGCACACCTGTAATCTCAGTACTTGGGAGGCTGAGGCAGGAGGATTACTCCAAGATCCAAGCCAGCCAGGACCATACAGACCCTGTCTCAAAAACAATCAGCACCCCACAGGAATTTCCTCAGCTGACAACACTAACCCTAAATAAACAAACCCTGAAAAAAAAAAGGCCAGGGATTTAGCTCAGCCTTGCAAGTGCAAGGACCAGAGTTCAACCCCCCCCCCCCCCCCCCAAAAAAAAAAAAAAAAAAAAACAAAAAACCCCTGCAGACTCTTCACAAAGAGTCCTGCGTTGGAAAAGGCAGAAGCATGTAACTCTTGGAGGGTTCGTATTAAGAGGAGAATTGTGGTTGTCTCAGACAGCTTCACTAAAGGGCTTCTTTCCACAAAATGCCCCCTTGTAAGACTTGAATAAGCTAAAGTGACTCCATGCTAATAGGCCAGACTGTGCTTCTTCATATGCTAATTGCTAACTTGGCTAACAGCCCTCCCAGGGGCAAATGGTATGACAAAAAATGACCATAGAACATTTCCTGCTTGAGATAAGCAATGTGTTTAGAATCTTGTCCTCTGGTAGTTCTGTGAATTCCCTGACTTTTTGTTTAGAAAAACCCTATAAAAAGACCTCAGCCCCTGAGCAGTTGCCTCTCTGAGCTACCTAGCTCCGTGAGTGCCGTCTGGCCAGACTAATCTACCCTGGTGTGTTCCCTCCTGGGTTTCTCATTTCTCCGTCAAGCTCCCGGAGCCTCTCTGGGTGTTACGGTCCAACATTGTGGAGGCCTTTTTAGCTGTTCACGGCTTTTGGAAGTAAGGCCCTGGGTCTTGCCTCCGGAGCCATCGTTGGGCTATAGGACTCAGAATCGTGGAGGCCCTTTCGGCTGTTCACGCTCCGTGGAGTGGAAGTGAGACTTTAAGTCTTACACCCTGTTGCATTAATGATCTGATTGGCTACTATTACCTATGACTAGAGAAACTAATGTCAGGATCCCTCAGGCACTTTAAGTAAAAGAATTGAAACTGGCTTTAATGCTAATGGAACACAAAATTAGAATGCTCCAAATCTGAATAATCTTGCCTTTCAAAAACTCTAGCAAACAGACCTCCAAATCGGAAGACTCCTGTGGCCTGGCCAGCCAGCCTGGCAATCCTACAATAGAGCACAGAAGGGTCAAAAGCAGCACAGCACCCTCCCCTGCCTTCAGAGCTCCGTGCCCATGTGACCCAGTCCCATCGGCCTTGCCAGTTGCAGGTGTAGTGCTCAGGCTGGTGGAAGCACCCAAACCTTCTTAGCCTCTGAGGGGTCCCTGGTGGCCCCGGTGGGCCACAGGGACTGACCCACTGCAGGCAGAAGATCACTCGTGAGATGGTAAGAAACTACCACTGGGTTGGAAAATGGGACCTTTTGGAAGGAAGAATGGACTGGCAAAAAGCTGGGGTGTGGGGAAGTGTGACAGAGTACTGCTCAGCATGGGTGCTTCTTGCAGCTTGCAGTCAGGATGGGGTAGGTCCCAGACAGGAAGAGAAATCTTCTGATTTCCTCCCATCTTTCCAGCAACACTGCACAGGCAGAAAAAGAGCAAAAAGAAACCACAGAGAAAAAGAACCACAGCCCGTAACATCAAGTGTCCCACAGTGCCACCACAGCCATAAGCAGCCCTGAGGGCAGCCAGGTGTGCAGGCGAGGGGCACAGCAGAGGCACACAGGGACCCTCACGTGCAGGGTGCGTGAGGGCGTGGACATGTGGACTTGTCCACCTGGCCCTGCTGTGTTCAGCTGCAACCCCCTGACACTCCTGTGGGGAAGGGCCCCTGGCCGGGGCTTTACAGACTCAGCTCCACCACTCAGTGTTGAGCTGAAAGGGCTTTCTGCAGGCTAAGCACACCAACCTCCTGGCCAGCACAGTCCCGAGTTCCCACTGAATACAGCTCCTCCATCCCTTCCACCACTGTCTGCTTCTACCCAGAGAAAACTCAAATGACCATGAGGGGGCCGGGGATTTAGCTTAGTGATTCCTCTGCCTGCCTTGCAAGTACAAGGTCCTGAGTTCGATTCCCAGTACCCAAAAAACAAAAAACACTCAAATGATCATGAGGGACAGAGTTCCAAAAGGTTTGCGGCTTCTTATTACAGACCTACTGCTAAGGGGAAACTGAGTTTCAAAGTCACATGGACATTATGTGGCAGAGCTGGACTGAACGGTGATCCTGGTAAAAGGCCGCTTTACTCTGAGATTTATCAGGGACCTCCTAAGTCCTGAACTGCTTTGTTCTCTTCTGAAAGGCTGGACGTTCTTAAAGCTTTAGAAAACAAAGCAACGCACAGGATTCCTTCCTTGGGGACATAAATGGAAACTGACAGTCTCCTCCTCGCAGAGTCCAGCACCAGACCCTCCCTCAATGTGAAGCCCCGCCCAGAGCTCAGCTTTAACCTCTCCCAGGAAGCAAACTACCTCAGTGCCCAGGGCCGCTCCTTTCCTAGCAAGGGTTCTCCTGGACACACCCAGCCATGCTCCTACTCTCTGTTCTCTCTATGGCCCAACAATTTCAGCAAAGAATGTGAGAGCCCAGAGGGTCTAGACTCATGGCTCCACCCACACTGGGTGGCCTCAGGGCGCTGTGTGGAGGTGGCCTGAGGCGGCCTCACTTCCCCTGTGCTCCTACGTTCTGCCAGGGCTCCAGGAAGGACTCTCAAACTGTTCCAGGCACCAGCCTTTGTCGGATCTCTACCCGCTGAAATTTGCTGCCCTGCAGGCCATATGTCCAGGAACCCCGCTGGGATTCTGCCTGGAGACACCAGCGGAGGTGTGAAGGGAAAGACTGGCTGCCTCCATACATCACAGGGCTAGGGAGGGCCTCACCTGGGTTTGGGGACCTCCAAGGGACTGCTACCCATCCTGAAGTTGTCAGAATGGTTTGAGGATGAGGAGCTAGAAGACTTGGCTTCGATCAGCCCTTGGTGGGAAGGCAGGCGGTCCTCTGAGGGCTGTGGCCGGTTCCAGAACACACTCTGTGGTGACGAGGAGTGACTCTTCCTCCTGTGGGGAACAGCCGGGCTGCTGGCAGGGCAGCTCAAGGTGTACCCCTGACAACCTTCCTGTGTCCTGGGCCCAGCTTCATGTCTTCTGTCCCAGTGCTCCCTCAGGTCCACGGGCACCAGCAGAAGTGGGCTTTGAGGAGGACAGTGGTACCCAGTTCACACTGGCCCACCAGTGAGACAGCGGGTCAGAAACTGCTTTGAAACTAAGGACTCAGTAATTGCCTCCCTCCCTCTTTGCCAACGCTATGCAAAACCCTGAGCGTGTGCTAGGGTTCTCAGAAGAATGACCCTCACACAGGTGTTCACAGTTGCTTACACTCACTTTGCACTCACCTTTTACTGTCTCTCCCCGCAGCTGCCCAGGACACATGCAGGAAGCCTTCTCCTCTATAAACCCCCAATGAGCCAGCCTCCCCCTACCTCCAGCTGCTGCTTTTTGGTCCCACAGGGAGCCCCCTGCCCTTTCTGCTCCTGGGCCACCTTGAACAGCACCCTCACCAAAGAGATGGCTGCCTCTGAGGCCCAGTGCAGATGGCAGGGGGCAGCGATAAGCTCCCAGGCCTTCAGTCAGGGTGCCCTTTGTTCCTAGGACTCCCTGGGGCTGGCAGCCCTCACCACAGCTGCCAGTCTGTCCCTCACCAAGCTGCTTGAGCCTGTGCTCCGCCAGGGACCAGCTCCACAGTCTCGTAGGTGAAGCTCCCCATAGCACCCGGTGAGCTCTCCATCACCAGGGAGAAGTCGCTGCCAAGGCTGGTGGTGCTACCTCTGTCTCTTCGCCCTGAAAAAGGGCCAGGGCCACAGGTCAGCATGCTGTCTCTACCTGCTGTTGGTCCCCACGTCCCCTACACCATCCGGCTGGACAAAGAAGCTTCTTGAACAGTTCTGGCAGAGGCTACACCCAGAAAGCTGTGCTGAGAAAAGAAACTGGCTGGACCCAGGACTCACTTAGCATGCAGATATCTTCCACAGAGAAGCCTGCATCCCGCGCTGGCAAACTCTTCCTCCTGGAAAGAGAACCCAGAGCAGGGAATTCTAGCTCCAGCTGGGGTCTCCTGTCCCCAACCCCTACCATCAATGGAAAGCAGCTCCTATCTGCTGAAATTCATGGAGCAGGTCCCGCCCACCTGGTCCTGTCTGCCACGGTATACAGGTTCCCAAGGCCAGCACAGCTACCCTCTCATCAGCTTGTCCATCTCAGAGCCCAAGTCTGGCCCAACATAAGACAAGCTGGGATTAGGAAGGCAAATCAACTCAGAACGGTCTCATGGGGAACTAAAGCAATTGCTAGCCAAGCCGCCTGCACCTTCCAGAAGGGAAGCAGATTTCGGCCCCTCATTGGGGCTGCCCGGTGCGCAGACCGGTCATCCCCAAAGGGTGACCATCAGATCGGGGGCAGGAGAGTGGGAGTCCTCCTTGCAGTAACACACCCTGTGCACTCAGTCACACAGACCACTTATCACTTCAGCGTTTCTGCCAGTGGGACTCCAGGCAGGAAAGCCTCTGTACCAGGGGCACCTGGCAGGGGAGGGAGTACAAGTCTGCACTCCTAGTTAGGTGGTGAGACCCCACCTGCGCTGAAGCAGTCCTTCTCAACATGCCGTGACCTAGTGTGCCAGTAGCGGCTCTTGGCTGTATTGCTTACCTCTGGGTCTTTAGGGCTGAGAAATCCTCAGAGGTGATATGCTTCAAAAAATTGAAGCAGAAAAAGAAAATCTGAAAGAGAAAAAAACAGCACAAGGTGAAAAGACAGCATTCCACACAGTAAGAAGGAGCAAGGTGGTTGAGCCCCAGGGTCGGCAGCCAGCTGTTCTGGCCTATCTCCCTGCTGGGGAACAGCCTGCTTGGGGGTTGGGCGACTCCCGCTGGATTTCCTGGCCCACAAATGGTATGGGGTGGTGGAAAGGGCTCAGCAGGGCCTGGTAGATGCCCTTGGGCTGGGTTCAGGTGAGGAAAGATGTTTCCTTCCTGGGAACTGTAAGAGATCAATTCAGAGTGCTCGAACCCTCTTCAAATGCAACACACATCCTCACCTGTTAAAACGGATGAAGAGAACAGCAGTTTCCCCTACTTCTCATCTAAGAGCTCAGAGAGGAGGCTGATAGGAAGGACAGCAGGGAGGGAGGTGAGGGGCGTAGGGAGCAATGACACAGCAGGAACACAGGGAGGGCAAAGGAGTCCCACTGGGGGCCCTTGCAAGCAAGATCAGGAGGCCTAGGGTCGGGGAGCTGGCCTTGGTCAAGAGCTGTGAGGTTCAGGTCTTAAGTGGGAGATGGGCAGCAGGATGCTCTGGCCTCTGGCTATACTCCATCCCCACAAGCAAGACCTCAGTCCTAGTCCAGCCAGCGCCCTAGTCCAGGGGCCCCCAGAAAGTACAACAGGAGGTTCCAGTCCACTAATCCCTGAAGCTGTGGCCAGAACCCCCTTGCATGCACAGGGTTTCTTCAAAGAGCAGAAAAGGGCCAGATTAGGCCCTTGTGAAAATGGTATGGTACATAAAATTAAAGAGCTTTTCATCAGACTCTCTAGTCTTCAGGCAGAGGTGGGAAAAAAGATGTATTTAATTAATAGGCTTGTCTGTCAGTGCCAGGGTGAGGTAAGAGAAAAGCCCACACCCCCAAGACCAAGCTCCCAGCTAAAAACTTGCTTCAGCTGATGCCACAAGGACTGACCGCAGCCCCCTCTTTGTCCTGTGTATCTGAAGGCAGCCGCTGGCCTTTTCTAGGGGCAGAGGGAGATGGTGTGGAGGACAGAATGTCCTGAAGCTCTGGCTACATCCCCAGCTAAGAGACTTACAAAGGTTTTCCACCCAGATTTCAATTCCAAAGTCGCTGCCTCTGACAGAGTTCACTGAGGCCTCTGAGGAGCAGGCTTATGAGCTCTGCAGGCCTGGCAGATGCGATAAGTGCTCAGAAGAAGGTATTTGGAAGGGAGAGGAGCAGCTGAGGAGGGGAACAAAAGAAAGCAGTGCAAGATAAGACAGATGCCCAGGAAGGAGGCAGGCTCAGGATGAAAGAGGAGAGAGATGCTTCAGAGAGATGGGGGGGGGGCGCACCAGAATGTGCTACCACCAGGGACGTGCCATGCTGGTGGGATCAGGTCTCGGCCAGGCACCAGGAGACTCAAGGTTGAACACATTACCCAAGGTCACCCTGGAAACAGGCAGGACAGCCAGGGACACACTGCAGCCTGACTCCAGGTGCATGTGCTGGGAAAACAGCACCCTGAGCGGGCAGAGTGCAGAAGCTGCAGAAGGCTGGGGGTAGGGCCAGGAGGAAGGCACTGAGCACACCAGAGGGAAGGGGGCGGTGAGACGAGGCCCCTGGGGAGCCCCACATTACAGAGGGGCACAGACCACTCTGGGTAGACAGAGAAGACAGTGAGGAAGAAACTGTCTCCAGAGCTCAGCACAGGAAACAAAGGAACTGCTCACACCAACTGCCAGTGTTCTTACCCTGGCCCAAGGGGACCTGCAGCCCAGACTGGTGGGTGCTGTGCACCTCTCTTCCCACCATAACAGTCTGAGCAGAGCACAGGCCACCTCGTTCAAGGCCGAGGACCCTGGCCAAGGAACTGCCTGCCCCACAATGTGGCAACCACACAGATAGCCATTATGTCCCTTGAGCCAGGACCAAGATGTGCTCACAGTCCATGAGGGGCACTCACCTCCTCTCCTTTGCTGAGCCGATCTACCAACATGTGCCTGAAAAAGGAGGGGTGAGGAGGTCAGCAGGGGTAGCACTAAGCTGAGGTGGGGGACCCACCCCCCAGGGACAGGCTGTTTCTGGACCACGGCAGCCAGTAGGGCCAGTGAGCATCTTCAGTCCTTCAGAAGTGGAGCTGTTTTCACTTCTGACCCTCAAGTGGGAGCCACCACACTGCTCAGGCAGAAGTGCAAACACCGCCTTGCCCCAGTCTGATGCCCGCAAAGGCTTACCCAAAGAGGAACCAGTCATAGGCCACAGTTAGGTAGAGGATCTCAGCAGGCTTCAGGGACCTGTGGATGAGCCCATCCTGGGAGAGATCACCAAGGTACGATGAGATCAGAGAGCTGCTCTCTGGGCTGGGGATTTAGCTCAGTGGTTCCAACGCCTGCCTCGCAAGCGCAAGGACCAGAGTTTGATCCCCAGTACCCCCAAAAAAGAACAAAGCTGCCCTCACATGACATAGTCTGCTCTCCATCCCTGGGTAGAACACACTTCCAGACCCAGACCCAGTGATGTCACAGGAACAGGGATAAGCATGACACCTGCCTAGTGGGTTCCTCACCCCAAATCTTCCCTGCTTCTTGTGGCTATCTTAAGGTACCCCATCAGGCCAGCTGTAGGGCCTCCACCCATACTTACAGCCCATAAGGAAAGGCGCAGGAGAGAGATGAAGAGGGGGGTCCGGTCCCAGCCTGAGATACAGTGCACCAGCAGCCCATTGTCATCTGCTCCAACAGCCAAGACAGGAGCCCAGAAGAGAATCAAACAGGTGATGAGAGGGAGCCAGACCACCCTCGTTCCCTTCCTCAGGGGCTTCCCCAAGGCTCTTTTCCAGCTTAGTCCCTGAGAAGGCCCAGCGTGGGCAATCTGTCTGTCCAAAGAATCCTTTTTTCTGGCCACAGTTCCCAGTGAGCTTCTGGGGAAGTGGTCCAGCCTGGACAGTCCTTTGCCTAGCCTTTCTCAGGAAGGCATTATTAATACTTTTTTCCCTTGATCTTGGGGAGGTGGGATAATTTTTCACTGTAGAGGGCTGTTGGAATTTTATGATATTTGGTATCCTGGGCTAATACCATTAGTGCTCCAGATACAATTTCCAGAAGCCCCTGCAGATGTGAGACAGCCGCTGCTAGAGCACCAGAGCCAGGCTCCAGGGGTTGGCACGGGACCTCTTTAACACATACCATTCTGTCCACAGAATAGGGACCCACCCCACACTGGGCAATGAGCACATGCTCAGACTCATCACTCCTGGGGGAACTAGACAGCAGGACAAGTCCACTATGGCCACTGGCCAGGACACTACTGAGACAGTAGTTTTAAGAAATAGGGAGAGAATCTTTATATCTGATGTTTAGCTCTGCTGACAGAACTGTTTAGATCTGTAGAACCAAAAAGGCCTATCTGTTCAAACAACAAGCAGAGTCCTGATCAAGGGACAGCAAGCAGAAGGCCCATGTGAACTGAATGTGCACCCCACAGAGCCGGCCCCCATGGGCTTGGGTGGACTGGACAGGCAGTTGGGACTGATGCTGGCACCTCAGGCCTCCTCCTTCTGGAGGAGAGGCCCATCCTGACTCCCTGTTCCCAACACTGAGGTGCACAACTCAAAAGCCAGCTGAGCAGGGCACCATCCTGGCTGTGGCTCAGAAGGTAATGTTACCTTGTTTCCAGGGTTGTAGGGACATAGACCTGGAAGGAAGCTTCAATGGACAAACCTGGCCCAGCCTGAGGATTCTAGGATTCTCAATTCCTCTCCCACAGTGTAGAAGGCAGTGTGACCCCACCAGATCCCAGTCAGGGTGTCAGAAATTGGGAACACCCTAAAGGCACAACAGTTTGGGGGCTCAGAGACTCACCATCGCTGTTAACTATGGAAAGCAGCAATTTCAGGTAGTTTTGTGTTTGTTGCACCAGGTCCCAACTCTGTTGGATAAGACAGAGACAAAAGGGGCCTAGGAATAGGTCCTGAGACTTGAAATATAGGGTATTTAAAAAAATAAAACAATGGCTGGGTGTGTAGCTCTGTGGGAGAGCACATGCTTTAGCATGGATGAAGCCTTGGTTCTATCCCCAGCACCATACACAAGAAAGGAAAGAAAGGAACGAAAGAAAATGCTATTCCTGGGCACCAAAACTTTTGGTCTCAGGCCAGAGGTCTCAAATCCCAGATAATGTGAGACATGCATTCCCCAGCTGAGAGCTCCTGCTACCACCCCCTGTGGAGGGGATGTTATCTTACCACTCCAGTGGAGGATGGAAATAGCTGCACTCAACAGCCCCCAATCTCAGAGGCCCAGCACGGCCAGTAAGGCCTCAATAAGGGAAACAAAGAGCCCCACTCCGGCAGCAGTGTCTGCACATGGTCAGTCATCCCTTCAGCACTCACCACACCCCACAGACCAGTGAAGGGAGCAGCCTGTTCAAACACATCCTGCTCAGTTCTACTGCTATTCACTACATATTGTCTTTTGATGAATAATAAATGCAATCTGCTGAGCAGACAAAATCTTTTCTAACAGGAAGCCCATGAGATAGAAGATGGGAAATAAGCAAGAGCCTTAAAGAGAGCAGAGCCTCCATTCTGGTCCAAGTGGGAGGTCCAGACCAGAGGCTCTCAGGCAGCCCACTCTGAATCTGGGATTCCACAGCAGGGCCTGACCCAGTTCTGCAGAGCCCTCTTCCCTGGCTGGGGACAGCCTCTATTCTCTGAGGACATGACTGCCCATGCACATCCAGGGCTGTGCAGGGAGAGTGGCAACATCAGAGCGAGAGCACTTCCCGGGGGCAGGGGAAAACGGCACCTGTAATTGCAATGATTTTCCTGGGAATTTAAAAGAGGCTCACAGACCTGACCCTCCCACGCCCCTGGAGAGTTCTGACCCATTTTCAGTAGCTCAGGAGATGCCACTGCAATGCTGTGCTGATGAAGTCATTACCTGGAGGAGCATACGGGTCTCTCGCCTCACTGGTTCAACACGTCAGACACACACTGCCAAGAGATTCCCTGAGAGCTGGGATTCTCCTGGGAGCAGGAGGTAGGAGCCATGCAGCATGCAGGTCAGAGGGGGCCAAGTGGGCTGGGGAGACTGCAGCAGCCAGCAGGGGCCAAGGCCTGGAGCTGTGAGCACCAACAACCCTGGCAGCCAATGGTCGGTCAGGTGCCAATAGTCAGGGTGAGATGTGTCTGTCTACAGCTGAATGAGGAGCCAGACTGGGAGGAGGCTCAAGGCCACACAAGGCAAACTCTGCAGTCCATGTACCCAAAGTCACATGCTACACTACGGGGGACTGTGCCCTAACGGCAGAGTAAGAAACAGGTCTAGCCAGGTGTGATGGCGCACGCCTGTAATCTCAGTACTTGGGAGGGCGAGGCAGGATTGCCACGAGTTCAAGGCCAGCCTGAAGCACACAGTGAGACTCTACCTCAAAAGAAATATGTCTAACAACACTGCTGCACAGATCCAGGTGCCCCTCTAACTCACACTATGCACACCATGAAAGCATCTCTGGGAGCAGAACCAAGGAACAGTTGTACCTCTACCTGTGTTTCTGTGCCTAGAGCACTTGCTCTGGCTGGCAAAGCCCCACATGCCCTCCATTGGCCCAGTTCTTTTATCATCTCTATGGGTGGTCATCTCTGTGGACACTGCTTAGACCCACCATATGCGTGACAGGCAGTCTTTCCCTAGAGGGCAGAAGTGGTCTTGTTGTCTCTGTCTCTCTAAGGCTCAGGGAGCAGGAGGCCCCTGCAGAATGTTTCTTACTGCCAGCCATGGTTGGGGGCAGCTCAGGGATATCACAGCCCAGGGAGGCTTGGAATAAAGACACAAGAGTCTGGGGCTCAGAGAGCAAGAGTCAGAGAGCAGCAAGACACATGTGCACCCACGACTGCTCCTGCTACTCACTTATTCATTCCCTCACTCAGCCGTCAGTGAACTGCATGGCTCCTGTGGGTCTGGCACTGGGGATCACAAAGGTGTCAACGATGACCCCGGCCTTACAACTTCACAGGAGAGGGAAGACAGCGTCACGCCTGTGTGGTGACCATCACAGAGGGCTTTGAAGGGGATGACATGGGCGAGTGTGAACAAGAGGAGGGAGATGTATTTCTGACAGAGAAAAGTGCCCTTCCTGCAAAGAGCTGGAAGGAGGCCTTCTGATGGCTACGGATGGGTCAGAAGGGCTCCGAGCATGCCAGGCAAGACTGCCTGAGCTGGGCAGATCAGGGGAGGTGCCACGGGCTGTGTGCTGAGGAACATGTGAGGTAGGGCCATGGTGGGTCTAAGGCAGAGCTGATCATGGTGGCCTCACTCTATCAGCTGAGTGTTCACTATCAGCCAGGCTCTAACTAGCGCCTTATGTTCACTATTTCTGGTTATTCTCAGGGTGGCCCCTGCTCGTGTGGTGCTCTGCCCTGAGGTGACAGAGGCCTGGCCTAGACCACACACAGGGACAAGGCAGGACTGGAGAGTTTTCCCGGGGACAGTGTACTGGTGAACAAGAAAACAGATGCCAAGAGAACTGGGGGTCAGCTCTGAGCTCCAGGGTAAATAGTAGGCTATGCCAACTCCATCTCAGATGGTTGGCTGCAGGGAGGATACTTGCAGAAGGGTTAGTCGGGGGTCACAAGGAGGCTATTGTGGCTTGTGTCTAGATGTCCCTCCAGAGCCTCATGTGGTCATAGATGTACCCCCAAAGCTTCATGTGGGGCTTTTCATAGGTGGCTGGATCGAGGGTGTGTGATGCTGTGAGGAAGGATGTGCTGCAAGGATTGACTCACAGTGTGATGCTAGGATTAAGGGTGAGCGCTACTGCCCTAAGGGTGGGTAGCCTGAATCAGATAAAAGTGACACAAAGAAGCTTGTCACTGGTTGTTCTGTTGCTGGCTTGCTGCCTTCTGCCTCCCTGCTCTGCCATGCCCTTCTGCTGTACCACTCTACCTTGGAGCCAGCCAACTATGAACTGAAACCTCTACAAACTGAGCTAAATAAACCTCTCCTCCTTTAACTTTGGGTACTAGGTATTTTTGTCTCAGTAACAAGAAAAGGAACTACAACAGAGGCTGGCCCATTGCACTCCCGGAAGCAAGAACCTGGAGTGGACAGAGGATAAGATCACCTAGAAGGTGAAGGTGAAGGAGCCCTGGGACCATAGTCTGAGGGGCAGAAAGGGAAGCGCTCATCCTTGGCTGAAGAGGACATAGGATAGAAGGCCCACGGAGACACAGTAGCGAGGCAGCACTGAAGAGGTAGCCTCATGAGAGAAGCTCCTGTGATGGGCCAACCGGCCACCTTCCTGCCCTGGAGTCAGCTAACAGCAGCCTGTTTCCTTAGTACCACGACAACCATCTGGCATTTTACCTCCAGGGACACTTGCACACTGGGCTAACATTTGCACCTGGCTACAACTGCCACAGACATTGTCAACTCTGCTCAAGGGCACAGAGTCTGGCGAGCAGGGCCGAGGAAGAGGAGCCCGGTACAGCAGAGCTCCTCCTCCCACACTTCATGTGGCACGGAGTTTACTATACCCAGTCTGCATCTGAGAAGAAAAGTGGTGCCAGGAAGAACTGAAAGAAGGGTAGCTCAGGGCAGGGCCCACAGGTGCCCTCCGCATATAGCAAACTGAGGAAGACGTCAAGTCTGACTGTTCAGGCACAGCCTCATCAGCCTCCCAAACCTGCCCCTTCTCTAGGCTACTGGGTGAGAAACACTGGCCTGCTCTCTTCCCTGAAACTCCTTCCCCGCACAAACACCTGATGGGGACTTGTGACATCATCCTCCTGTGCACATGTACAAGGCTGCTGAGTACCTGCCCTTTGACTGGGGGCTGGGACAAAGAAAACAGACTGCCTTTACAGACCTCCCTGGCACTAGGCAAGCAGAGAAAGAGGTGGGGGGGGCAATCTGTCTAATTCTGGCAGGTAGGGCCTGAACCAGGGAGACCCCCAGGCCAGGTGAGAGGTCCAGACATGGGGAAGGGGTAACAGCAGGGAGCAGGTGTTTCTTCCTATTACTGGCTTGGCCTTGCAAGCGCAAGACCCTGTGCCTCTTTCTATGCTGCGGATGAACAAACCGTGAGTCCCCTGAGCTCCTGGAGCTCACAAAAGATCTCCAAAGCAGTGACTACAGCTTGGTGGAAAATTCCAGGATAGATGTGCCCAGAGTTAATGGGAACATAAACACAAGCATCCAGGAGAGAAGGTAAATCAGGGAAGTCTTCCTGAAGTAGATACAGCCAAATCCTGAAGGGCAGTGTGTCAGCCAGACAGAGGAAGCCGAGAGGGGCAGCCAGGCAGAGGGCGCAGAGCATGGGAAAGAGGGGGCAGTACAAGGCTACTTGTTCTGTCTGAAACAAGTGGCAAGGGAGATTATCGGTGGCCTTCAGCCTGTGTGGACTAAACAAGATGGAGGGCTGGGTTCCTTCTATGGTGATGGTGACAGGGGAACACAATGGAATCATTTTAAAGTTCCTATCAAATGAGGTAAGCAGCTCTACACTTCCTACAGCAGAATACATATTTAAAAGGAAAATGAAAAACGTCAGTGAAGCCCAGATCTGGAAAACCAAACTCCATAAGGTCCCCTGGTGGATACACATCTTCTAATGATTCACACTCCAAAAGCTTTGATTTTCTGGGCCAAGAACGAGGCAGGAGAGATACAGTAAAATAGCTAAGTGCCTCCTCCCCTGCACTGCGAGTCTTGCAGCACCAATGGCACCCTGGCACCCAGCCCTTGCCCTGCCCTCCCAATCAGATGCTCACCTGATACTGGCTCCAGTCAATGTGCAGAGAGTGGGTCAGGAAGTCAGGGATGCTCAAAGGAGCATCGACATAGTCCTGAGGAGAGAGTGACACCTGTGAGATGTAGACTCGCTACCAGCGGAGGCTGTGGTGCCAGGCAGATCACAGCCCCAACGCCCCTTCACAGCACTTGCTTTTTTCGGGCCAGGTGCTTGTGCTATGCCAGGACCAACAGCTTAAAAACCAAACTATCCAGAGCACTGTGGCCAAGTGGAGTTGTCCTATCACACACTGAAGGGTCTGACATGGAGATAGGTAAGACCACACAGGAAGCCTCAGCCTGTGCCCGCTGATGGGAAAAGAAACAAAACGCTGCTCTGGGTCTTCACAATGAGAGTGGAGGAGACAGGTCTTCCCCATCTTCTCCCTGAAAAATGCTTTTAAGGGGGTCAGGGATTTAGCACATTGGTACTGCGCCTGCCTCACAAGCGCAAGGTCCTGAGTTCAACCCCAGTACCAGGAAAAAAAAAATTAGAAAATGTCTTTAAGGAAAACAGCCAGGCACAATGGCACACACTTGTAATCTCAGCACGCTGAGGAAGGAGGATCACAAGTTTGAGACTAGCCTGGACAAAATAAAATAGAAAATAAAGAATTAAAAAAGGGCTGGGGGGCTGGGGATTTAGCTCAGTGGTGCCGCCACTTGCCTTGCAAGCACAAGATCCAAGTTCGATCCCCGGTACCAAAGAAAAAAAAGAAAGGGATGAGGATATAGCTTAGTGCAAAGGCTTTGGGTTCAATTCCCAGTATAGTGACAACACAACAACAAAAAGAAAAAAAAAGAAAGAAAAGAACGGAATACACGAGAAGGTGGGGAAAGTACCTATGATAATTTAACACGCATACACAAGCAAATGGGGAAGAGACACATCCAACAGACTCAGGCAACAAGAGACAGGAAAGGGTAGATACTGTAGGGTACTTCTCCTGAGGAAGTAAGTGTTCACAAGACCAGGCTGAACATCGTTGAGCATACCTGCTTCCAGTTAAATATTAGCCCTTCAGCCATGTAATCCCGGTCCTTATACTCCTTGAAAAATTCACAGCCTGGAAAAGGAAGGCAGAGTTATGACACCTCATGGCCTGGCCTGAAGTCTCCTAAGAGCCCAGGCTGCTCCTTGGTCCTGCGAGCTTCTCCATACCAGTGGCTCTGATGAGGCTGAGGCTGAGAGGGTAAGACAGGGGTGGGCAGGCGAGAGCCAAAAAGCAGGGCCTGGCTTCCTCTCACCTGTCACTCCTTCCTTCTTAGCACACTGGTCACCAATCACTGCCCCACTGCAGGCCCCCGCCCTACCAGTCCCTGTGGTGCCAAGCTGAGCAGACAAAGGCTGGCTCACGCTGGAGGCCGGCCACACCTCTCCAAGGTGCTACATAGCTAGAGGCCCAGTCTTCAGCAGCTCCAAAACAGGCAGTGATCCCTGCCTGCAGGTCTTAGGGAGGACTCAAGAGTCCAACGTGCTAGAAGGGCAGGTGGTGCCTGAACCCTAGCAGAGGCTCAAAATGACACCACCACCAGGCGAAGAGGTGCTTTGTGCATCACCTGAGAAAAACCCTGAGAAACTCCAGCAGAGCAAGGCTGCTACAGGAGGAGCAGAGGAAAGTAGGGCTCAGCAGCAGTGCCAGCTCCAGATCCCAGGTGCGCGTGTAGCTGATTAGCATCTCTTCAGCCTTTTTTTCCCCAGTGCTGGGGAAGCACTCTGCCACTGAGCTACATCTCCAGCCCCAAACCTTGGTTTCCTACTTGTAAGCCAGCTGTTTTAGGCTAAATGACAGAAGGAAAAGCATAGCCCTGGTGTGATGGCCCTAGGTGGCAGCCCCCACTGCTATGTGCTGCTGCTCTAAGGAGTCCACAGTGCCAGCCCAGGGCTCAGTGAAATCTATGCTGTGGTTGGGGGGCTGCCACCATCAGAGTGGAGGCCTCTCTATGTCACGGCTTGCACCACCCACCAGCACAGCATAGGCAGCCCCGGCCTGAGTGGGCTCCTGGTGGCAACCAGCCCGCCCTGTTATTCTGGAGGCTCTGCTCACACTGCAGAGGTGGTCATGTGGTCCCAGAAGACAAAAGTTGTCCCGGTACTGTGGAAGTGGCCTTCGACCAACAACACACATGAGGATTTCTGTAGTAACTCTCAGATCTACTTCCTGTGTGAGGCTGCTGCAGAAAAACCAGGCAGGGTCCCGTGGAAAGGGAGATCTGGGGACCCAGCCCCTATGTTGCACATATACTTCTGTACTCTAATCCCCTAGGCCTTGCTGAGTAAGAGGCCAAGAAATAACCTCCAGGTATAACACTTCAGCCTGTTCCAATGCCTCACCGAAGGAAGAAGCACTATAAATACCAGATGAGGCCTGGAGCTTGTGAGGCCAGGCTGAGAGGGGACAACAATTACCTCTATCCCTGTGAAGTGCTTTGCTTTCCCAAGCCCTGGTTGCTCAAATCAACATCGAGTGCCCTGGGCTGAGCACAGATGAGCCCATGATGCAGAAGCAGCTTTTGTGAGAAGCAGACAGATTAAAATAGCCCCAGTACCTGGGGCAATGTCTGATGTTCATTACCAGGAAAGGCCTCTGGACCTATGGGGCAGGCAAGAGAGAAGGAGGGCAAGCAGGGTGACAGCAACAGCCCACTTAGAAGACAAATTAGCACAGAGGCTCGGCCCCATCCATGCTGGTATGAAACTATTTCCAGAACACTCTCGTCCCCAAGGTCCTGTCTGAGGCCAAGTGACTTAGAGCTAGAACTGACACTGCTGAGGGTCCTGCGTGGGCCTCGGAGTACTTCCAGGATAGAGAGATTCCTTAAATGGCAACAGGGTGCACTTCATGACTTGGTTTGGATACTGGTCACTTTATTTCTTTTTAAAAAGTAACACAGACAAGTAGCTGGGCATGGTGGTGCACACCTGTAATTCTAGGACTTGGGAGGCTGAGGCAGGAGGACTGCTGTGAGTTCAAGGCCAGCCTGAGCTACACAGTGAATTCAAAGCCAGCCCGAATTAGAGTGCGACCCTGTCTCAAAACAAAAAAACAATACAAAACACCCTAATATAGGTGTGTAAAAAAAACTCAAGGACATAAGTATATGAAGTAAAAGTGCTTCTCCTCTGCTTTTATCTGGGTGTGGTATGCAGCAGGGATCTCTTTTCAACCCCAGCTTTAATTACAGCTGAACTCATGCCACCCTCCCCCCCAATCAATCATCAGATGAAGGACTTAAAAACAGACAGATCTTAACATTCTGACATCTTTCCTATTAACCTTTCCAGAAGCACTTTGTCTATGACATAGTTGGTAGGGCACTCATATAATTTCGTTCATCTTGAGGATTTGTCTAGAGCTATGTAATAGTTTTACTGATGAAGATATCATGTACTTAATCCTCTTCCTGGTTAATGAAAACACACCCCTAAATTTGCTATTACAAACGGACACTGGGATGAACATCTGTGGCCCCCAAGCCAGCTGGATTATGGCCTAATGACAGATGAAGAAAATAACTAGGTCAAACAGTACTAACATCTGGGAAGCCTTGTAACAAGCTGCCAAGCTACAGCAGAGAACATGCTGGGCTGCTGTTCTGGAGCAGGGGTTCTCATTCTTCCAGCAACACGGAGGTCTACCTGAATCTGAGATATGAGAAAGCCCTGCCAGGCCCCTCAACAGCATAGCCATTCTGTGGGCACAGAACTGTGCAGGTTGGAGCACCCGAGATAGCTCCTGGGAGTCAGAAGCTAGGTCTGAAAACCAGCTGCACAGCTACCCAACGGCTACTGCACAGATGCTTTTGGAAGAATCCATCTATCACAGCACTGTTCTGACGCCACCAAACCCAAGTGCCAGCACTGGGCTCTGCACTGGCCTAAGCTGCGTTAGGGAGGAAGAGGCTCCTTCCCACGGACTCATTTACTGAGTTCCTGCAATGCAGATCTGTGGCACCTTACCCCAAGTAGGCGCCTCTACCCTCATGTTCTAAAGGATCCTACTTGACACTCAAGGACACAGCGTACTAGGCTTGGAGTTACATCCAGCGCTTCAGGGTCTGAAGCTAAGTTGGCAGAGCACTGCCAGAACAGCATTCAACAGGAGCCAGGCCTCAATATCACCAGATTGCCTCCAACGGGCCAGCAATTCCAAGTAAGGCTGTTCTAGCTGGCCAAGTGGGTCCAAGACTGAGGACCAAGGCTGAAGGCAGATGCCACTCCAGGAAATGGGAGTAAGGTGTCACACTCCCTGTGGCTCACCAAGCCTCACAGTGAGGTTCAGGGTCCTCAACCTCCCCTAGGAACAGGCAGTGAGAGTTACAAACTAGGCAAACACTGTTTTGGTGTCCAATGAGGGGAGTAATGCCTGGCTAGAGGGTACAAGTGTGACTGTGCCAGAGACAAATGCAGGTTTTCGGACCAGAGCACTGTGCAGCATGGGGAGGCCTCTGTGCAGGGACACAATTATGTGTCCTCCCACTACAGATCAGCTTTGCGGGGCCCTGGCCATACAAGCTTAATCACGGTAAGACATGCACAAAGGTCCACACCTTCACAGACAGCTCTGCATGGACAGGTGCCAGTATGACTAACGTTGCTTCCACTTAGCGCTTCATGGAGCCTGGGCGTGGTGGTATGCGCGTTTACATCCAGAGCTCTGGGAGGTGGAGGCAGGAGAACTAAGTCGTAGCCTTGCCTGGCAACTTAGTGACTTAGCAAGAACCTGTCTCAAAATACAAAGTGAAAAAAGGCTGGGGATGTAGCTCAGTGCGAAGGCCCTGGGTTCAATCCCCAGTATCACAAAATAGACAGAAGTACGTGTACACAGGGCACTGGATCATGCAAGATCTCATCAAACAACAAAACCTTCACATTCTGCCACCTGAGCAAGCCTGAGGCTGGGATAGGGAAGTGAACAGCTCTAGGCCGTGGTTATCAGGTGCCAGTGCCTGGATTTGATTCCTGGATGGAGTGGAAGCTGTTCCAGGACACTGGCTCTCTCGCAGAAGGCTTGCTTGCGGCCTCTGGCCCAACCTGGGAAGCCTAGAACTTGGCAGAACAGCATGCCTTACCTGGGTATGGGATGGAGAGGAGAGTGAAATCGGCATAGCGCTGGGCTTTGTCCACCTTCTCAGAGGAAGTCACACTACCAGACACAAAATGTTACAGCATCAACACACAAGACACATGCTGTCCCCACGAGTATTGTCGCACCTAAAACAAACCTTCTGTTAAAATGCTTTTTTTTTTTCCAGAGTTACAAATGATCTCCCTTGAGAAATCTAACTTCCTGCCCCAGCTCCAACTTCTCAAGCCAGACAGGTTTCTTCTCTAGGCTTGACCAGACTCAAGACTGCAGGAGCACCTTCCCTCAACAGCTGATGATGCTAGCTGGGAGGGCAAGTGAGGTGACAGCCAAATAAGGATATGGCTGAAAAGTGGGGTTTTGGGGGTGTCTACTGCCTTCTCTAACTGCTGCTGAGCCACTTCTAAACAGGGGACACACAGTACTGGGGCCTCCTGACAAGGGAGGAAGGGTACAGGCACACCAATAACCCCTAGGAAACTAAACTCTGATTTCAGCCTCACTGTGTCTCTGCAAAGACAACCATTTAGGGCAACTAAAGCTATCGGGGAGAAAGGGCTGAGGATTTAGCTCAGTGGCACAGCACCTGCCTTACAAGTGCGAGGTCTTGAGTTTAATCCCCTGTACCAAAAAGAGATATAAGAAAACATTAAACAAAATTTTGGAAAAAGCTTCTAAAATTTCATTTTCCTGACATCAGTTCCATTTTTTAAAGCTTTGCTCTAGTATATAAAGATTTGGTCCATATATATATTTTTATGTAACAGCAGTCACTGAAGCAAACTGGATACACTGAATATTTTGCTCCATTTTAAAAGTGATTTCAATATACCAGGGAGCCAAGGCAAAAACAGATTATCCAACCAGAGGAGGGACTACAGGACTAGCCAGGGACTCCATCTCCTTTGGTCATTATCATACAACCTTAGCCAAGTTAGCCTCTTCAGTTTCCTGTCTGCAAAAACAAAGGTGTACCATGGCCTGTCCCAAAAGGCTGCTGAAGACACAACAGAAGTGTGCAGACAGCCCTGGCACAGGGCCAGCCCACAGGAACCGCTGACCTGCAGGCTGGGAACATTCAGCCTCCTGCTTCGTGGTGGGGACGCCCTGTAGAGTACTTACTTCATGCCAAACTTAACCTTCTTGTTCTCCACCATCAAGTCACAGATGTACTTGACTGAGAGGTACCGAAGCAGCCGGATGTCATAGCCTCTGACCTTATCGAAAAGGTGCATGTCACCACTCCTGCAATCAAGAGCCAGAGGGAGAAGGTCCAGATTGTGGCCCTTGTGTGTGTGTGTGTGTGTGTGTGTGTGTGTGCGTGCATGCATGTGTTGTTGTTGTTGAAGAAGCATGGATGTCTCTGGCAGAAATGGTGTCCATGCCTGAAGGCAGAGAGCACAGGAAGGTGACTTTCTAGGAGATTACCCCATCTCTGGCACACATTTCAAAGGGAAGCATCCGTGGCTAGACCTGGAGAGGGCATTCTGGCACTGCTCGACATGGAGCCAGAAGACTCAAGATAACCTTGGTGCCAAAAGCAGTGAGCTGGAGCTGACCCCCCCTCCTCCTTGCCTCCCCTCACTGAGGACCACCGTCAGCCATGTGCCTCACTCACTATGAAACACACTGCAATTCTTGGGCAGATAGGCTTTTTAGAGCTATTTCATCAACAGACTGAATTCCCTCTACTTAGCAGACTGGTGAAGCAAGGAGGCAGAACACTGTTCTAATCCCCAACCTACCTTCAGATCAGCATGCAGATAAAGGTAGACTAGACAGAATTAACTGTCACCATTACATTTTCTTGGTTTTTTGTGACAGGGTCTCACTAAGTAGTTGAGACTGACCTGGAATTCACTATGTAGCCCAGGCTGGTCTCAAACTGACAGTGATCCTCCTGCCTCAGCCTCCCAAGTGCTGGGATTACAGGTGTGCACCACCATGCCCAGCCTATATTTTCTTAATGCCTGCTGCTTTGCTATTTCTGCAGTCTCCTTACAGAGAACAGAGTATGCAGCAAAAGAAGGCCTGGCTGGGCATAGGTCACCGGACCTTAGGGGAGAAGCGAGAGCCACAGCTTTCTGGGTCAATGGGTAGACCCTGGGTGAGGCAAGATGCCAGGCCAGTGTGGGCAGTTGACCTCACGCAGCGCTACTGTGCATGCTGTAGTTGCTCAGTAAAAGCTAAAGACGCTCCAAGGAGCTTTTTCTAAAACAGCGTACAAAGGGGTTTTTGTGGCTCTTGGGATTGAACCCAAAATTTTCACACTGAGCTACATCCCCAGCCCTTCTTTTATTTATTTGGAGGCAGGGTCTTGCTAAGTTACCCAGGTTGGGCTTGAACTTTTGATCAATCCTCCTAACTCAGCTTCCCATTAAGCTAGGATTATAGGTCTGCATAGGCCACACAACTGGCTTATAGTGCTGTTCTTTAAAAGGGGTAGTAAGAGTTGAACTAGACCACTGCCTCTCTTTAGAGACTCAAAACACTGCTTTGTATCAAGCTCTATTTCAAACACTAGTCAGGCAGCTACAAACGTCTTCCATGTGTCCTCTGTGGGGACAATAGTCATCGCCCTCTGCTCCGGCACCAGAAGTGCTAGGTGATACCTGTGGGCTGGCAGCCACCACTCTGGCTACACACCTCAGAGCTGGTGGGCTCTGAAGCAAATGTAGCCTCGTGAGGCCTATCTCAGCCAACAGACCAGGAGCTGAGGCAACACGCCTGGAGAAGGTCAAGTGCCTTCATCCTGGCTGCAGGCTACACAGGGATGAGACAGGCAGCACTGGGAGAAAACTCCCAAGTGGACTAACCACAGTGTTTCAGCCGAGTGGATGAGAGGGAAGACCAGGATGAAGACAGAGCCGGTGTAAACAAGGTCCCCACTGGCCAGATAGCCCAGCCCAAGCCCTGCTCGTGGGGACCCAGCACTGACCGAAGAGCACAGTCTTCCTCCGTGACGTCTTCAACATCTGCCCAGGCATCATCGGTACCCCCTGCCAGAGAAAGCAGCCTATCAGCACTGAGGCTTTGGGCACAGGGCTCCTTCCTGGGCTTCCTCCCCTGAAGCTCAAGGTGCAGGCTGAGCCACCAGGCCCCATCCCCGGAACAGCCCCTATCCCAGGGGCAGCCCTCGCAACTCCTGTCCCCACATACGCTGCTTGTTTGGCGCTCTGCTTTCCATTTTAAGTGACTTCTGTGGGTCCCCTGTTCCCCGCTGAAAGGATGCCCATCTCCATGAGCTTGCTCCCACCCTCTGGCTATACCACTGTGGGGCTTGACTCTGAGTGGGTTCTCATCTCATACCAAGAGGGGCTACTCAATATTCACCTGAGAAAAAATAGTTGTAGCCAGAGCGTCCGTACAGCTCTCCCCATCCAGCCAGCGTGGCCGACCTGCAAATATGCTGGGAGACAGACAGCATCCTCAGTCAGGTTTTCGCAGTGTGCATGGCTGAAGGACACCAGAGCCTCCTACCTCCTCTGGGTTGGCGAGTGGGACCAGCTGCATTTCCCACAGCCAGGCTGAAGGATGCCTGGAGCTCGGCCCAGTCTCTATCCAAGGAGACGCCCCAGTTCAAGGCACTGGGAAAGACCTGGTAGATGCTGCACATGTGCCATGCCCTGGAGATGGAGTGAATCCCGCCAAATCACTGTGCTTCGTTTTTCCCCCTCCAGTGCTGGAGAGGGAGCCCAGGGCCTTGTGCATGCTAGGCAAGTGCTCTACCACTCAACTATATCCCCAGCCTCTTGCATGAATATTCTTTTACTTTTCCTCTTGTCACTGAGGGGATCATGTTGTGAACTAGAATTCTAGACACTACTGCACGAACCTTAATATCGAATGTTAAGGCCATACCTGTATTGTGTGTTTTTTTCTTCTGGTACCAAGAATCGAACTCAGGATCTTGCACTTGCCAGGCAGGCACAGTGCCACTGAGTTACATTCCCAGCCCAAGGCCATACCTTTAAAACAACCATTTGAGGAGAGGCAGCAGGGCAGTGGAACTCAGCCAAAGGCTGAGAGAAGACCCGTTACACTACAGTGTGTAAGGCTATGAGGGGACAGTGCAGGCTGAGCGGACCACATAATCTGGGCGGGGGGAGTGGGTCTCCACTGCCTTGTGGGACGTCATTCTCTGCTGATGAAGGAAGGAAGCAATGTGCTGCTCGAGGAGAGGGTGGAAACCCCTAGGTCACTTCTGGCTGTCCTTACAGTGAAAGGAGGCAGTAAAGAGGCACTGGCTGAAACCTCATGCTTCATACTGTTCATTCCTACCTTCCCGAGACCTGAGTGTCTCCCCAGCCTGGCCCACAATTGCTTTACAAAGAGCAGTGTCCTTCTGCCCAGCATGCACTTACAAGCTGGTCCCTCTGCTTGGGGAGGCTGCCCTGAAAACTCTACAGAAGAGCTAGGCTAATCCCCACGGCCTCAGCAGGAAGCACTCTGATGGAGCCACCGAATGTCCTCTGGGTCTAGGAGCATTTTGAAGCTGATGAGAACTGCCAACTGTTTGTAGAAGAACAAGTGCACACCATAGTGTGCCTACACTCCAGGGTTCCTGGACAATCCAGGCCCATCCGGGGCCCTGCTGAGCCCTGTTAGGAACTCTGGCTTTAAGGGAGAGCCCTGGTGGGAAAAAGCCAACCCCCCACTGAGTACCTCAAACCCTGACTGCTAAGGGAGGTCGGATTCCCGACAGTCCTTGACTCATACACCTTCCGGCCCTGCTCCCACACAGCTCAGCCATGGCACTAGCCTTGCTGTCCTTCACACGCAGCCATGATCTTCTCCACAGCAGACAACAGCCTCTATCTGGCTACTGAGGGTAGCCCCTAATCCACCACAGTACTGGGGGTCAAACACATGGCCTTCCAACTGAGTTGCTTCCCCAGCCTTTATTTTGAGTCAAAGTCTCGCTGAATTGTTCAGCTGGCTAGCCTGGGCTCAGAGTGCTGGGACTACAGATGTATGCCATCATGCCCAGATGGCTATTGCGCTTTGAGGCCCTCTTCTTGCTCCTTATTCTTTTCCCAAGCCCCTACTGTCCTTGTCCCTTTGGGAGTTGAGTCAGTCAGCCCTAGGTTCAGCAGGGCCCATTTATGGTCAGATGGAAAAGAACAAAGGGCTTGGTCAAGTCCCCAAGTGAGGTATCGAGCTTGTCAGGAAGGCAGAAGGCTCATCCTACAGCAGTCTCTGCCTTTTGAGCCAGGGTCTCTTTGTAGTCCAACCTGGCCTCAAACTTGTTGTGTATTCCAGGCTGGCCTTGAACTCTAGTTTCAGCCTCCCAAGTGTTGGGACTACAAGCATGAGCTACCACCTAGCTCAGTCTTAATTTTTTATTTATTTTTTTTTTTTGGGTACCTGGGATCGAACTCATGACCTTGTGCTTGCAAGGCAGGTATAGAGCCATGGAGCTAAATCCCCAGCCCCCAAAAGTCTTAATTTTTAACATCTGCTCCTCCTAAGACTAAGGGTTCCCAGTCAAAACCCATCACGTCTTTCTTTTTATTTATGTTTTTTTTTTTTTTTTTTTTTTTTTTTTTTTTTTTTTTTTTTGAGACAGGGTTTCAACATGTAGTTTAGGCTGCTCTTGAATTTGTGGTGATCCTCCTGAGTGCTGGGATTACAGACATACACCACCATGCCTAACATCTCTGTGCCTTGGCAAAATACATTCTAGAAGCCATTCTTTGTTTTTTTGGTACCAGGGATCAAACTCGGGTCCCTGCGCTTACAAAGCAGGCACAAGAACCACTGAGCTAAATCCCAGGCATGGCAAAATACATTCTAAATGCTCTCCAGTTACCTAATTAGGAGTAGCCTCTGACTCTGCACATGGAATAGCATTTGGTAGGATGTGCCAATCTAGTAATCAACTTTGGCATATAGAATAAAAGTGACAAGGAGGCCAGGGATTTAGCTCAGTGGTGCCTCCGCCTGCCTCGAAAGTGCAAGGTCCAGAGTTTGATTCCCTATACCGATAGATAGATAGATAGATAGATAAATTTAAAAAGTGACTGGATCAGGAGCTTTAGCTCAGTGGTAGATTTGCTTAACATATGTAAGTAAGGTCCTGGGTTTAATCCTTAGCACCAAAACCAAAAAAAAAAAAAAAAAA